AAGATAAAAGTTTGAAATTTCACTAAATATGTTTTAAATCACGTAGAGTGTTTTCGTGAATTTTAAAGACTTTTTTCTTTAAATATTATTTGCACAACTTTTAAAAATTCTGAATTATTCATATGTGATTTCAAACGGACAAAAAATGTAATGTGTATTCAGTTTATTTACCAATTTTATTTGTTTGAATTATTATATTTCTGAGAAAAGATAAATGCATTTAGAAAATCACACACCAAATCCCATAAAATTCTGTACACAACTATAATAATAATTTAAATATTGTTTTATATAATCAGCCAAGCAAAAAATTACATTATTGAAACCATTACAAAAATCAACATATAAGTTAATAGTTTATATTTATATCATTTATTTTTATTACTAATGAAATTTATTATACATATATAGCATATAAAATATGTTTGCATTCTACTTGTAAATTTAAATATTACATAATAGGCATATAAAATTTATTTGTACCGTGATGTGCACCAAGAGCCATACTAGTGTTGTAAAATAGTTTGCGGAGGGGTAAGGAAAAAGAAGAAAATAAATAAATAAAAAAAGAAGGAAATGGAAAAATACCTTCCGACGTCCGCAGTCTAAATGGTGTATGAGAACCTCCACCAGGTCGGCGCCGGAGAAGCAGTTCTTCAATAACTTCATCTTCACAATCCGATCCTGAATCGGAACCCTCTGCCTCACAACCCTCACCATCTCCGCGGCCTCGTCCAACTCCGCCCCCTCATCTCCCGCCTCGTCCAACCCGTACACCGGCGGTGCCGGCGCGTCCTCCCCGCAACTCCTCCTCAAAATCTCCTCCATCTTCGCCTCCAGCATCCCGGCGTTGCGCAGCGAGTTCAACGCCACCAGTCCTCCGATTAGTTTCTCGTTGAAGAATATCTGTGGCACCGAGACGCCGCCGGTCCTCTCCCTCAGCTCCCCCTCCCGGCTGGGGTACACGTCAACGTTAATCTCAACGAAATTCAAATTTCTGTGGCGCAGGAAGGACCGGACGGCGCCGCTGTCCCTGCAATTGGACCGGGAGAAGAAGCTCACTCTCCCCTTGATTTCCTCCTTGGGCGCCTTCACCACCTTGAGGCCCACCAGATCGAACTCCTTCACCACCACATCCTCGTCTTGCCTTTTCAGGGAGGATAGGCGCTTTGTAATCGCTGCCGAGAAGCTGCTGCTCTTCTGGCGGAGGAACTTCCCGATCGCCGCCGCCGGAGCGTCAATCGTCTCCGGCGAGGATCGCGACCGCTGGATCATCATCCCAGGCGGTGGCTCGGGTTTGGGGAGCTGCGATGATTTCGATTGGTAATCAGAATTCCAGTGGTATCCACCTTTTACAATTCCAATTCCATCGGTTTTCTGGGAAAGTTCAGAATTGTCGTCCTGCGTTTGGGTATGGCGATTGACGGCGTCGCATTTATTAGTCGGATATCCTTTCTCATCTAAATCCTCCTCAACGGAATTCCCTTTAGTAGTGGAGGAAGGACAATTCATTTTCTTCAATAATTAATCAATTAAAAGAAAAAAAAAAAAAGAAGAAGAAGAAGAAGAAGAAAAAAGAAAAAAATGGGGGAAATGAAAGGAGGAAGGTTTTGGGGTGAAAATTGTTAATTAAGAAGAATGGTGAGGAAATGGAAAGAGAAAGGGGAGCGGAGGAGTCGGGAATAGCTGTTGTGAATATTGTGTGACTATATTTGTTCATCCTTTATGCATAATAATTGACAAAATTTTGGTAATAAATATGCTAAATTACCCCCAGAATTGGTCAACTTCCAAATAAATTTTTGACTTGCCCACACACAATACATGGTGTGGATTTCGCTTAATCTCATCCCAATTGCCATCAATTTTGAATTTTTCCTTTACTTTTACATTTTGTTCACATAAAGAAAGTTGAGACATTCTAGCATTAGATGCCCTCAAACATACTTGAGTGTTGTTGTAAGTTCTTGAACCGGTGCAAGAGATACATGTTTGGGGGAATTTTATCTTTACCACACCATTTAAAATTAATTGCAATTGTACAAGGGGTTAACTTTTAATTGCACCCTTACCTGGCATTTAATTGCGACTGTGTAGGATATCAGTTACCAAAAATTCAAGATCTACTCTCCTTAAATCGTGCACGTAATGTGATTTCAGATTTATATTGATACAAAATATATGGTAAGCCTACAAATTAGGAATCTTTTCTAATACAAATAGAAATATAAGGAATTTAAATTTCAAACGTTATCTTCTAAATACATATAAAATACATGATCCAGATTATATACATAAGATATACTCATTATATACAGACGACATAAAAAAATACACAACAGACCTACAGAAGATAACTCAATCTTGTCATTATATACAGAATATATATAGAAGATATACAGAAGCATTAGACCACAAAATTCAAATTTCAGAACTCAATTCCTTTATATATATACAACGTCATCCTCTAAATACATACAAAATACACAATCAGGTGTTATATACAACAGATATACTCATTATATACATACGTCTTAAAAAAATACACAACAAATATACAGAAGATAAATTAATCTTGTTATTATATACATAAAACATACAAAAAACACGTTAGACCACAAAACTCAAATTTTGAAAATCAATTCCTTTCTTCTCATCGTTCGCGTGCCTTCTCCGGCTATAATTTTTCGCCATGGATATGGTGTGTGAAGAAGAGAGAGAGAGAGAGAGAGAGAGAGAGAGAGAGAGAGAGAGAGGGGGGATGAGACGTGAGTAACGAATAAAGAAGGGAGAGGGAGGGGTAGAGAGAGAAGAATAAGAGAGAGAGAGAGAAACACGTGATTTGGGAGAGAGAAATTGATATGTTTCCTTAAAGATATATAATTAATTATTGAATTAATCCTTAACTAATATAGATGTTTTTTGGTAAATCTACAAATAAAAACATGATTTTAGGTAGGATTGCTAATATTTACAATAGATATTTAATAGTGTAATAAAAAATAAAATGTATGGTGCAGGGAGTAATTTTCTCTACATGTTTCCCATAGAAGGAATGACCCAAACTTATCCAAGCTCTCAAACTCAAGCCCACAAGACAATAAAGGAGCCCAAGAGTCTCCATATACATTGTGTCAATCCATGATTGATTGGAGTGTCGATCCCCTTGTTACCAACCCTCGTCGATTTCTGCAGATGTAAAAGAGAGCTGACAAAGTAAATTGATAAAGCCACTACCTAACCGGTCTCGTCATCAACAGTCGAAATGAATGTCCCATCCTCAAAAGTTAGATTTTTCACGACGGATCATCAGATCGGGCTCGTCGAGTTCGGGACGGTTGGATCAGCTTCGGTTCACCGAGTTGACTCAGTCGGACTTGGGTTGACTCGGTCAGAACTCGGCTGGGCTGACTCGGGCTCGACTCGGTCATGTCTCGGGTCTGGTCGGGCACTGATCGCGGACAGGCGGCTCGCTAGCTAGGCGCGTCGTAGACAGTCGGTCGGGCGTTGCGGGCGTGGATCTGTTGTTGGGTTCTATTAGAAATGACAACAATATGCACTTTTGAATTTGGCAAAATAAACCCTAACGCAGCGGAATCTATAGTTAGGATTAGTACATTACTGTTTAAAAGTTTTGCCGACTCAGAGACGTTTTTGATTTCCTTTGATGGAGATCGTCTGATTATCAAAATCTGATGGGCTGATGGATCTGTCCTTTCTCTATTCTGATCGAGTCACTGAATCACGAACGGATCACCGGATCAGGCTCGTCGGGCTTGGGCCAGTTGAATCAGCTTCAGTTCACCGGGTTAACTCGGTCGGACCTGAGTTGACTCGATCGGAACTCGGCTGGGTCACGTCCCGGTCGGGTGGTGTAGCGACTGGACTCGGACGGGCGATGGTCAGCTCTGGTCGCAAGCGGCCGCGGACAGACGGTGTTGGTCGCGAGCGGGGCTGGCTACGGCTAACGGGCGCCGACGCTGACTGCTAGCGTGCGCAGGCGTGCGGGGCAAGATGCCTATACCTGCGCGGACTAGAGCTGGCAGGTGGTGGGCGCGTCTTGTGCGGGACTCCTACGCTTGGTAGGATTGGGTGCGCGATGGCCTCAGACGGATAGCGCGCACGATAAGCGATCAAACGGTTACGCGAGCAAGCAGGCAACGACGTGCAGGAGCTCGCGGGGTCGGGTCGACGTGCGTCGCTGGGAACAGGTGATGAAGATCTCATGTCCCGATTGCCGATAAGCCACAAACTCATGCCTTGAACCGATGATAGGTGTCTCGGAGGTTCACATAGTCCCACCCCTTCGAAACGATAAAATTGCAAAAGAAATCAAGAAGAATTCTAAGGCAAAGTGTTTGAATTCATAATCTAGCTATAACTCTAATAAAGAAATAAAATATTAAGTATCCTAAACAATCTAGAAATCATATGAAAAGAAGGAAACTAAATATGTGGAAAATCCTAAGTGATCTTGTCTTGTACTCCACGTCAAAAAACCCTAACCGCCCTAGTCGCCGCCTTGGACCCGCGCGCCTTGCCTTAGTCCTCGAGGACTAAGGTCGCACCGCCCGTCGTCGCGCGTGCCTCCCCGCCACGCGTATTGCGCGCGCCCTCGTGCTCCGCGGCTGCCTCGCGCGCGTTCCTGTCTCCCACCGCTTCATCGCGGGCGTCCTTCGCACCTGCCGCGTCCTCGCCACCCTCCGTGCCTTTCGCGCCATTACCCGATGCGCTTGTCGCGCGCGCGTCTATCCCTGTCGCCCGCCTATCGCACCCGCGCGCTAGTCACGCGCCTTCGTCCGTTGGCAATTGCTCTCCCATTTCACGTGCCCCGCACACTTCACCATCAATGGCCTGCGTCTCTCCCGTGCGTCGCGCTAGCCTCTTCCGTGCATGATAGGCGCGACTCGATACGTTCTTGAGTTGCCTTGCCACATTCGCATCATTCTCGTCCCCTTCAAGCGTTTCCTTGTCCTCAAGGACGAAATCAGGGAACTGCTCACGCATCTCCTCTAAATCTTCCCAAGTGGCCTCCTCCGATGGCAACTCCTCCCATTCGACTAACACCTCCCAACGATAGCGTCCAGCCTTCCTTACTTGGCGATACTCGATCGCACGGCTTGGCCTCACAATGTCTCGCCCATCTGTTGCTGTCGCGGGTAGCTCTTCGCACCACTTATGCGCTTCACCCAAACTTCTCTTGAGTTGCGAGACATGTATGACCGGATGAATGTGCGAACTCTCTGGCAACTCTAGGCGATAAGCTACTTTCCCTATGCGCTTCAAAATCTGATATGGCCCGTAATAGCGAACCCCAAGCTTAGTTGCGGCCCTTTGCGTTGTCGTGAGTTGCCTGAAGGGCCATAGCTTCAAGTAGACATAGTCGTCTGGCTCGAAACTTTCCTCGCGTCTCTTGTCGTCATGAAAGGTCTTCATGCGATTGATCGAGCCTTCTAGAGTTTTCTTTAACTCGTGCAACATCAAATCTCGCTCCTCAAGCTCTCGACCGATTTCATCGTCGATCGCATCTCCTTCCGAATAACTCACGAGCGTAGGTGGTTTGCGCCCGTACACAAGCTCGAACGGCGTAGTCTTGGTCGAGCCATGGTAAATGGTATTGTACCAATATTCAGCCCATGGTAGAAAGTTTTCCCACTTCTTCGGGAATTGATGCACATAGCACCGTAGATATTGCTCTAGCGTGCAGTTAGTCACCTCACTTTGACCATCCGTCTGTGGGTGATAGGTTGAACTCATTGATAGCTTGGTCCCTTGCAGCTTGAAGAATTCAGACCAAAAGCTACTGATAAAGATTCGGTCACGATCAGAGACAATCGAGCGTGGCACCCCGTGCAACTTCATGACGTACTCGATGAATAGCTTGGCGATAGATTTCACCGTATCGGGATGCGTGACCGGTATGAAGTGCGCATACTTCGTTAGTCGATCTACCATGACCATGACTCCATTGAACCCATTAGAGATTGGCAGCCCTTCGATGAAGTCCATAGTGATGTCCTCCCAAATATTCTCGAGCATCGGCAAAGGCTGCAGTAGACCACCCGGTCGTCGTGCGTCGGCCTTAGTGCGCTGGCACTCGTCGCAGTGTGCGACGTACTCCCGGACCGCGCCCTGCTGCCCCGGCCAAAAGAAGATGTTGGCCATCCTCATCCATGTTCGGTAGAATCCCCAATGTCGTCCAATTTTCGAGTCGTGGAAGTGCTGCATAATCTGCTCGCGGAGTTGCCCGCTGTCGGGCACAAAGACTCGGCCCCGGTGTAGCACTAGACCGTTGTGCTGCTCGTAATCGGCTACGGCCGCATCACCGGCCTCAATGTCCCGGTGCAAGTCTTGGCACTGGGCATCGTCCTCTTGCGCCTTCCTAACTTCTTTCCATATTGCCCATGTTGGCCCGGTTATGGCTTTGAGCTCGGCGACGTCTGTCCGCCTTGATAATGCGTCGGCCACGGCATTTTGCCGCCCTGGTCGATACACTATCTCAAAGTCGAAAC